GTGTATGCGTCAGTGAAGTGTATTGGGGGAGGGAGTTATCAATCTATGTATCTATATAATATGTAATCAATTTGAAAAAAATAATAATAATAATAATAAAGATTAGCATAGTGCAATGTCGATATGTTTTGAATAGTTCTCCCAAATAAGACTGAACCTGCATTTTCCATGGGCAGCAGGAGCTTGTGAATGAAATGCTTTTGTGCTGATTTCGGTGTAGCCTGCGAACGGCAGACGTTTCTTCTCGCTCATCGCCGCTCAGGGACGTTTCGCGAGGAGGAACGTCTGTGACTCAGCGACAGAAACTCCATTCTGATGACGTAAATCAATGTTTACATAATGAATCTGGTTTCATGAACATTTACAGATGAAAGCTGTTGACGCCACTCTGAATTTTTGTAATGGTGCCATAGAAAAGGTTAAAGACCAGGAGACATCACTATCGCTTGATATCGATTATAAGACACTGCTACCAGGTGTAGTGTTGTGCTGATATAGAAGTGTCTTCCAAAAAACGGGTTAAAATAACACATTACACGGCTATATGTACAGTTCTTTTGTCACGCTTTTGATGCGAAATGTCTCTCTTAAGTGTCCACCTATACAAAACACGAAAACTTCCCCAGTCATAGACCAATGGTTAGAACCTTCAATTCGCTTACAACCAGTGACTCTAAAGCGACCGCGACCGCGACCGCCACCACTTATGTGAGTCATTGACTCTTAATTTTCCACTGGATTTTACCCTCATGTAAGACATTTTTGATTTGCTACCGTAGCACTCTGCGCATGAGCAGATGGTCAAACCACTGAAAAGTTAAGATTCAACTTTGTTCGTCAGTCCGCGTGAACTTGAAAGCAAAAAGATCAAACGGTTCCGTGTGAACGAAGTATTGGGTCAAGTTTTTCAGCCAGTGGAAAATTTGTTCGTTGCGGTGTGAACGTACATGCAGCCTTAATAAGCAGAGCGACATTTTGCATGACGCTCACACTTTTTGGTACATTTGACGTTATTGTACGACTACGACGTGAGATTCCCTGGCGTCTCGAAGAGAACGTACACAAAAAGCAGGCACAGATCTAGAGTAAATACTGAGCGATTTCTTACTTCTAGGGAGTTCTGGGGACATGCTCCCCATGGAAATGTTTTGGATTTTAACTCCCCAAAGTACCCTTTCCTGAGTTTATTGGTCATTCAGACAAGATATTTGCTGACCGTGCAAACCATTCTCCAGATTTCAACTTGGAAAGTTTAAAGTTCTTTTAGTAAAAGTATATTTATTATGAAAAATCTGACCGATTTCAGTAAAACGGTGGAAAACGGTATGGATCCGCGCCTGCAAAGACGAAGTTTTCTTTCTCTTTCTAAACTAGGTCGTGGTCCCCAAGATTTCGACTCAAAGGGAAGTCTACCTACATTTTGTCAGATATCAGAGATAAAGACATTTTCAAATGTTTTGCATGGTCTAGAAATAAAAACTTTAATGAAAATGGCAGGAGAATCCACCACAAGGCGAAACTGTTACGTACAAGAAGACTTGTTCCAGTGATCTGTAGCTATCGAACAACATTGTTAACATAGATCAAGCAATTTTAAAATTGGATGTTGTTCCCTTGAGTAGTGGAATTCAATAACATGCACACTACCAACCCTTAAATGCCAGCTCTTTCTTTTACACTAAAAACGTCAGTAGCAAGTCTGTTAGTGTACTCTGATCGATCATAGGCAACGATCAGTCAAACCACGCGTCGAACTTCTCGGTACGGACACCTCTCTATTACGGACAATTTCCAATGCCCCGACAAAATTCTCATATATTTTCTTTAAAAAAAGCCCTCTATAATACGGACTCTCTCTAGTACGGACAACGGACACTGAATCTCGGCCCCAGAGAGTAAATTAATATAAACTTAACCTCTATTACGAACAAAGCGGTGATCAGGTAAATCCTGATTCCCGATCAAGCGAATATGCACAGGGTGAATCCCGTCTGGCTGATGAGCTATGCAAGGTGATTTCAAATGCCCAGTCTCTGTGTATCTAAAAACTATTTGCGAAAGGTGTACAGAGGAACATAACCGACTTTTTATGCTACAGATAGCATAAAGATCTTTTCTCTTACATTTTGTCCTCTAGTTACTGTTTACTGCGCTTCCAAAATATCGAAAGACGCTTTCAGAATTGTGCTTTACGTGACAACTTTTTACTTGCAGCATTGCGCTGTAGTTCTTTTCGTTTTAAAACGGTGATTTGTCTACGACTGTACTTACTTTGTATCTGAGATGTACAATGTTGTATGCTACAAGGACAGTGTCTGTACTGTGAATTAATAAATTTAAATGCAGTTTAAAGACGAGTGTAAGCCCGGTTTTCGCTACTGACCACTTAAAACTGTAAGTGGAGTCATAAGTGACGTCATCATAGTGACGTCTTTTATACGGACACCTCTCTAATACGGACACTTTGCTCTGTCCCTTTGGTGTACTTATTAGAGAGGTTCGACTGTACTTTAATTGTATAAACTAGGGTATCTAAAAGATAGTAATGCTGCGGCACACTGGCATTAGTTAGGCAGTGAGACTTAAAAGAATCAAAAATGACATTGAATGTCCTATTTACATGTTGGAAAGTACTAGAATAATTACTATCAGTCTATAGAAAGAACTCGTAGGAACGTTGTTTAGAAAATGATCAAGTGGTTATCAACTCTGGTTTTTCCACAGTAAATTGTAGGGAATAAGGGAAATTCAGATTGTTTCTCCATATATTTAATATACGGTGCACGATATTTTCTCTGGAAACACAATACTTTTCTTGCTGTTTGTTGCACTTTATTAAGTAACAGTTATTTAGCTATATATTTATAGAAAACAACAACACAAAAAACGGAAAAAAAGGAAAGCAAGAATAAATAACTCGGTAGGACTCGAACCCCGCACCATCGACTCGCCGCGACTACACTTAACCACTACACCACAGAGGCTGAATACGTAATCGTTAGGAAAAGTCTTTTATTTTATTCCTCTTCCATCAACTTCCGCTGGCAAGATGATCGCCGGCCGCATTAACCGAACTATTAACAGTGAAAAAACAATGTAAACGCATCTTCCATGGCAATGAATGAATGAAACAACATAATTATGCTTTTCAAAACGCCGATACACGTCCTCGACTGCAAAGTAGGACACAAAACATATGTTTTGTTATCTCGATTTCCGCTGTTATTTTGAAGCGAATGGTCAAAATCACATCCATTTTCGGCTCATACAGTTTCTTAAGAATAGCATTGCATGACATTTTCTCACTTTCACATCACCTTCTAGCAAGCTGGAATTTGTATATCCCCCGTGCTGCGGAGTCGAAGAGCAAATGCTCATCTTCTCGTCAGGTTTAACACCTGGACGAGTCACAGGCTCTTGAATTGAAATCCAATCCCAAGTTAACCATCGTACTCATCTGAAAGACTCCTGCGTGTCTTAAAATTTGGTAAGACCTCTAACCGTGCTTTAGAAAATTTGAGTAGAAAGTCTGAGCAGCGAACGATTCACTCTCTCACCCACCGAACTTCCCCGTGTTTTTATTTGAGTTGTTCGTGGCGCAATGCACTCTGGTTAAATGCAATGCATTGTGGTAAAAAGTGTGGTTAAATGCAATGCATTGCGGTAAAAAGTGATGAATTCGAGAATTCGTTGCCCCTTATATATTTCCTTTAAATCCTGATTATGTTGCTGCTCGCTCCCTTCGGTCGCTCCGCAGCAATTATCATAGACAATAAGCTGGACAATTACCCTCGACGGCACAATAGTAGCTTTCAAGCCATCAACGCGGGAGATTTCTATGTTGTTACTTTAAAACTGGATGTTGCCACAAAAAGGAGCGGAGAATTTTACTTCAACACGATTTCTAACAATATCATTATGAAAAGCAACTTGTTCTAGACTGTTTTATCAAATAGACTTGTCAGTTATTTGACTTTGGCCTTAAGATTTTTTTAAAATTGCTCACATATTAAAGCCGCAATTTAAACCTAATATCAATCTTCATCCAAAATCTACCAAACATGTGAATGCGACATGAATTTTGACCTATTTTGAGATAAAGTCAAGCTAAAATAGCTTCACAAGTTTGCTTGATTTTTAACTGAACTGTTAAATTATAAAACCGTTATGCAAATATTTTGGGAGTGTATGACGCTGAATGTTTGGACTTCTGTGCATTAAAATTAATAGAAGAGCAAGAGTGAGGGAAAATGTGTTTAACAGGAAGTTACATTATGATCAAACCGGCAATTTATTCTTGCCTCATAAAAAAAGTCATTACGGAGACACAAGGCGCTTACTATTTACAGAAGCCATCTGACTTTTCAATCCAAGAATTTCCAGTTTCCCCGGTGAGAATGGTTAGCACCTCCAGACATATCATGCCTGTGTATTTCATATCTACAGAATGAACTTCGCTCTGTTAGGTTGTCAAACTAAACAAAGCGTTTTTTAACACCTGTTCATGCTTAGAACACCCCCTACGGTTCTGGATTCTCTGTAGGTATCGATTGTTAACCTCACTTATAACAATCGTAACCAACTGAATTCCGCCCTTGATAGACATCCGCATATTTAGCTCGTTATCTTGTAACTTGTTTTATGATTTTTTTACTATTGTATCGTCTTTTATCGTTTATAGTTTTTCTACGTTTCGTTTTTCGTTCCAGTAAAAGTGTTCCTTTTCGTCTGCATGCCCGCCTCGATTAGCTTAGGTATTTGCAAGCAGAGGATATCAAAACTATTTCTATTTGTGTAAACAAATAAATGAATGAATACGTAAAAATTAATGAATTTATTAGTAAAATAAAAGTATACTAAATACGCCAATACAACTCCTTTTAATATTGTTTACTTAATTAATACCAAATTCTATCAATATTTACAATGCCCTCATAAACAAGCTTCCCCTTGCGCATGCTCTTTAAGTAAACGAAGTTTTCATAATTGTAGTAGGCGAAATGATTTCGTTACTTATATTTTGCTGCATCTCCGCCACAGTTTTCGCTGATGACGACCATTTCAGATCTTCCTACTTCATAAATGCGGAAAATAGGCGCTTAGCAGCACAAATGCCCAAGAGAGTTTATTTCGATAGTGTTTTGTCTTGCAGTCATGCATGTCTTAAAAATCCCTGGTGTTTCTCCTCAAATTTTAAGTTCGGGGCAGGTGGCGAAGGAGTATGTGAGTTGATTAAATATCACTCAAACTCAGCTGACAATAACAACAAGATCATTCATCAGCCAGGCAACACATTTACAGTGATTCCTAAGGTGAGTAAATGCAGCATTTTATTGGCGCAATACTGTACAAGAAATTCTTTAAAAATTGAGCATTTTTCGGTGGGCGTATCTCACTAAAAGGAAAGGAAACAGTTAGATTTACAAGCCGTCAATAATTTGTTATACAATTCAAAGATAAATTAAAGCTTGTGCAAAAGTTTAATTTACAGCTTGGGTTAATGAAATTTGTTACGAAAACCGTCAGTTTTCACCGCCGTTTCGATGCCGTTCTTCGTCTCAAGAGCTTGTTAATTACCGGACGAAAATGTATTCAGGCCACTGATTTGTTCAGGAATAATTGCAATTAATTTTTAACCCTGGCAATGTTTTGTAGAAGATAAAAATTGTTTTTGCAAATCTGGAAATACTGGAAAGGTATAATCAAGTTTTAAAAAAACTCGATCTCCCTGACCATGAATTGTAACTATCGCTCGAGCGACTGGCTTTTACCGCAACGAGTTTTGCCACATCAAAGATTGAAGTGACTCAGTCTCCCAGGAAGTTGTTTATTAGGGCCGGAAGCTTTGATTATTATCATTATGCTGAATGGCTGCAGCGTACTTCTAATGCTTAAAGTTAAATTAAAACAGGAGCACCCAACGAGAATGTAGTTCAAAACCCCTTAAACATGGCATTGTTAAATGTATTTTAGTATTTAAACGGTACATATAGGCATATTTTTATCCCCTAAAAATTTTTCATCTGTTCGGATTTCCTAGCTGAAAGTCTGGTGATCCGAAAATTATAGGGATCAAAACTTACCTTTTCGAAATTTCAGCCAGAAAAAAGGCTCCCGAAAATTCTAGGTGACCTTTTAAGGGTAAAAATCCTTTAAACATGGGCAATCATACCATTTTTTAGATGTTCGAAAATCCTAGGAGAAGCAGGCAAGCAAGAAATTTTACAACAAATGTTCCGAAAATTATAGATCTCAAATCGTCTTCCGAACAGATATTTTCCGAAAATTGTCGTTGGGTGCCCCTGATTAAAACTGTGGGAATTTCTTGGCATATTTACTCCTTGCTTGACGATAGTAGACAATTTCTTAGAATTAAAACAAGATTAAACAATATCTTCTCTGAAAAGGATTCAAGAAAGCGAGAAAATGATTTACTTAATCATGATATTCTTCTGATTTTAATAAAACGGGTCTTACTGATAGGGTTGTCTAGTGACTGGATGCCTAAATGGAGGTTCTTGTTTGTTAGACAAGAAAAAGGAAAGGTTTGCATGCTCTTGTAAACCGCCATGGAGTGGACAAAGATGCGAAGTGAAATTGGGTGAGCCTTTACCTAGTTTTTGTGCAAATTGATTTCTGTTTATATATTTTATGAAAGACTGAGTATTGATGTACCTACTCTACGCGTTTCAGCTGATTTCATTTCTAGTATTTATTCTCGAGCTCCCGGGTCGACCCGTTGGAGGCGCTTCCTTATATGGCCTTCAATATGGAATGTAATTGCAACATCCTCCTGCCACTTTAAGAAATCAAAATAAGTCTGCACAATAAGCAAGGTGGGGTTGTTTCTCTCCCTTATTCTTCTCTTGGCCAAATTTTCTCCTTAGCATTCAAAGAAAAGCTTGCTAAGAGGTCTGTTTCTTACAAATAATCATATTTTTGTGGCTCAGAATAGCGTAGCGCCTTCTCTTCTTCCCTTAGATACGGGATATTTATATTCACTCGTGTGGACTGAACGGAAGTAGAAACGTTCTTGTTTTGTGGAGGAACCTAACAGTTTTTGATGAAGTTATGAATATATGAAAAACATATATGTGAACTGCGGAGTGAAGAATTATATCAATGAAGATCATAGCAGTTATATAAGCAACTTTTGCAGTTGCGAAAAGAAAGCCTGAAACCGATACCGAAAGCGATACCGTGCTGCGCTAAGCTAACAAGCCAATGGGAGCAGATAGTTGAATTGGTTCGTTAAATTAATTTTTATTTTTAAATTGTTATTTTTACTAATTTTCAGGAACGATCTGTAAATAAGACTTTTGGAATATGTACTAGGATTTTAGGATTTTGTTGAGTCAATGTTATGCGCAGATGAAAATTTCTTTCCCTGGATTGATATTTGCGCAATATAAATCAATAAATATTATTATTATATTATAAACCGTGAAAAGATGATGATGAAGTTATGAATACATGAAAAACATATATGTGAACTGCGGAGTGAAGAATTATATGAATGAAGATCATCGCAGTTATGTAGGCAGTCTTTAACGGTCGGCATGGTTTAGGTCTTAAAATCCAACTTAAGATAACCCCTATTAAGCGCTCTTCGACAACCGTGCGATTCATTAACGGACCAAGCTGCAGGATTTGTTAGATTTAAGGTTGCCTCTTGCATCCCTGTATTACGTAACCAGTAAAGGTGGCTGCTAAAGTTATCCTTCCTTTCGCCTCCTGTGAGGAAATCCTGATTATCGTCTGAAAGGTCAGTCGTCTCCTTCCACGAGTTATGGGGAGGAGACCACTGACATTTCACACTATCCGGATTACGGAACTGGGTAATTTTTGGTTTTGGATTTCGGAATACGGGAATTTTTTGATTGTGGAATCCGGAATCCTATGCTTTGGAATCCGGAATTCAGCTCAATCCGTAACTTCCACAAACAATGAGTCCGGAAAATCAAGAGCTCATAGCGTGGAATCCAGAATCCAAGACTGTCTTGGATCACTTTACATGGGGCAATTTCGTTAATATTTCTTGGTTTTTGTCGCATAGGATGTCCAGCTGGCTGGTCTACACATGGTGACTCATGTTATTACCTAAAAGGTATAGAACACCAGATCCAGAGCGACGCGCGCAAGGCATGTCAGACAATGGGTGGAGACCTTGTGATAATTAAATCAGCCGTTCAAGATCAATTCGTATTTGAACTGATAAAAAACAGTGATTTAGTCTCACCATCTGGTGTGTGGCTTGGGTTAGAGAGAGTTAGTGTTGACGCAACCAAGTTCCATTGGATTGAAGGCACTCCACTGGAAGGGAAGTACGAAAACTGGGCCGAAGGGGAACCGAACAACTCTGACGGTAAAGAGGAATGCGTCCATATGTATGGAAACTTGATAAACAGTACGAAATCCGGAAAGTGGAATGACTTCCCCTGTGGATGCTTTAATTATCGTGCAACATGCCCTGTTATTCTTTGCCAGAGGTCTCTCCCATGATTAAGGCACAGGATCATAGCGCAGCCTTTAAAGTGGCTATGTCACCAGGATATTGTTGTTTTAGGTCAATAGTCCAGTTTCGAGTTCGCTATGACCGCTGAACTGAAGAAGTGAAGACGCATTTTTTACAGCCTTAGCCTCCATCTGAAGTAATATATTCACAAATTCCAACGAGAAAATAGCCTGTTCCAGGCGTTCAGATAGTGGGGAGCGGTACGAAGTAAAAAGGAGCGCGAAAAAATAAAAGCGAGGGAGGGGGATAGGTGAGAGAGGGAACGCCTGTTAGATTTGTTTTAAATAGACTCATCCGCCCACCCAGACCACATCAGCTGTAGGTGGTCTTCACTTGTCAATCTCAGATCAAAAATGAATATTATGTATACATAATCTTACTAAAAACCTAATGTAAGACTTTCAGACAATAGAGAGCGGGAGAAGTAATTTATTTACGGCTTTAAAACATGATTTCAGCGTGTACGTGACAAAAAAATTATGAATCAAGTGACAAACAAATATCGCTCATTTCGATAGAAAGCCGTTAATACAGATCGTTAACTCGAGCAATGAAAATGCCCAACAAACGAAGGGAAAATTTACTATTCGGTGATTGAGTGGACCTCGTCAATAGCGATAGCTGCAACTTGCTTTCCAAGCTTTCCTTTTGAAGTCCTTTTGTCCATTCCTTAGACAACCACGATTTGTGACTGCAGTATGCCTTTGAGTGAATTGTTAAGGATCATACAATCTCACAGCTTCCACTTTTAACGGCTTCATCCACATCTTCTCCCATCGTTGCCGCCGCTACTCCGATTTTGTTCAAATGTTCCACTTGGTCTTTCATGATGGCAATCAACGGAGTGACCACAACAATCATAAATGGCACTCTATCCTGCCTTCATTCCAACGCACGCTTTATTCGAGGAAAAAGCTGGAAAATAAGTCTTTTTCCAAAGCCAGTTGGTGAAATTGCGAAGACATCTATCCTGCCGACTACGTGTTTTAAACAGTTCCTTTGCTCTTCGCGTTTAGCTTCCACGTTTGGAAAGTCACTCAGCGCTGTGTTTGCTGCGAGTTCGAATTCTGGACGGGACGTAGAGTCTGTCTTCACCGCCATATCGCATTTCTCGCTGTGATCGAAGACGCTCCACTGTTGACAAAAACTGTCAAAATCAACCAATCAGAGGGTATACCAGGATCTGGTATACCGTAACTTACTTTTGTTAAAAATACTTACAAGCGTTCCCGCACCTCTCTCCCCAGCCCCCCTCTACTTTTCATCGCTTTCTTTTATACTTCGCACCGCTCTCCACTATCTGAACGCTTGGAACAGGCTAACGAGAAAAAGCCCTTTTTATTACTCTGTCTATTGTGTATATTCAAATTTCAAGCACTTACCTGCCAGAATTTCTGAATATTTTACTTTACGTCGAGGCTAACCCTGTGTGAACGTGTTTGTATTCAGCGGTAATTTTTAATTCGAAACTGGTCTATTAAGTTCTGAAGTCATTTCTTAGTGCCTTTTATAACCAAAACCAAAATGCTCCTGTAGAGCTTTTAAAAGGATAGCAGACAAATTTCATTAGTGAGCACTAACCATAATAATTTCAGGGGAGTGATGGAAACGATGGCCAACTCTTTCAAGTTTCAATTCGTGTCCATCCATACCATCATAGCAACAGAAGACGGAAGAGTTTCAATGTCTACGTATATAGTATTGAATAACAAAACTGAAGCAGCCTCCCCCTCAGGCGCTTCGTTTTTCGCAAGGTAGAGGCAAGCGACTGGTGATGAGCCGCAAGGGACCATGTCTCCTTTTCGCCTTCCTTGGCGCGCGCGAGAAAGACTTCTGGGTACGAGGCAGAAACTGAAGCATCATATTTGGAATTCAATTCATACGAAGACACGTTTTAGCTTTTTAAAAAATAGCAAAAAGCGTGACATATCTCCTTTACGCTTCATTTCAATGTGTACTTTGACGGAAAGGTTGTTTTAAATTCTTGTAATCAAAAGTTTAATCAATCCTTATTATTATAGTCCGTAACATTACGCGGGATGTTAGGAAATAGCTAAAATGCATATTAAGATAGCTTCTGTGATACATTTGTACTTATTAATAGATTATGAAAAAAGTGCCTTGTTTAAAACTTTTCGTAATATTTTTTATTGCCGTAGTCGCCAGATTTGAATTTATAAAAGATGAAGGATGTGGACTCGCACAATAGACCTCTTTAGCTTGTATGTTTTGTTTTCCCTATATAGGTCCCAGGGCAACTTGTCCCTTCGTCTTCTCATAAATTATGCGTAGATATGCAAGTGAATTAGACGAAATTTGAATGAACAGTTCTCTATAGTATTATCACATGACCTTTATTGGGAAAACAAAACATACGGCTAGAGAGGTCTATTGAGCCTGCTCGATCGCAGGCTACGCTGAGGGCAAGAATAAATCTCTTTAGCTTGTATTTGTTTTGTTTTCCCAATAAAGGTCATGTGATAATACTATAGAGAAGTGTTCCATTCAAATTTCGTCTTATTCACTTGCTTATCTACGCATAATTTATGGGAAGACGAAGGGTTCCCCTGCGACCTCTATAGGGAAAACAAAACATACAAGCTAAAGAGGTATTGGGCTACTTTCACATTTCCATAATACATCTTGTGTAACTGTCAGACATCAGAGATGAGGCATCTTTTTCTGTTGCGCATTGTTTAGCAATTTTTTTATGAAATAACAAATTTCTGGGGAATTCCAACATAACAGAAATCGTTAGCTCTCGGGTATCATTGTTGGTTCAAATCAAACAATTTTTATTGTGGTGTAGTAAAAAAGGGGTGGGTTGTTGAAGGAAAGGGGTTGTGTAATGCTTTTTCAGGGGATGTTTCCAGATGTTGAAATTAAGATTTTTTCAATTCCAGATCTTTTATCCAATATTTTCTGGCAGGTTAATGGAGCTACGTCCCAAGGTGGAAAGAGAGAGGCTAAGGGCGTGGTTTTTAACCCCCTTTGGTCTGAAATAGGATACAGATTTCTGCTTTTTGGATCGTCTGAAATAGAGTACGGTGTTATGCGCTCTCTGGAACCAGTGTCTAAAATGGTGTTGTGTATTTTTTGGTTTTGCTTTTTTCCCTTTATACCAACCTCGTCCGAGTTCTTTTATCCGGTATTTTGTGACAGTTTAGTGGAGCTACGTCCCAAGGTGGGAAGAGAGGTTTCCCTTTTCCTTTAGTATGAAGTATATAGATATGTGGGGGAGAAAGGCTAAGGCGTGGTTTTTACCCCTTTTGGTCAGAAAAAGGGTACGGTGTTATGTGCTCTCTGAAACTAGTGTCTGAAATGATGTTATGTGTATTTTTTGTCTTTGCTGTTTTCTCTTACACCAACCTAATACTTTAAGGATTCCTTCAATTTCAACACAACTTAAAACAATAGACTAAAATATTGTGACAGAACTCGTTTAAGGTGTTAAGCACTTTATCTACATTTTAAACTTTGAAACATATATTCATCGGCACTATTGTAATACTGTGTAACAAGAAGTAGTCACGGCAGGTTACTTAAAAAAATATGTTTTGCCTTCTGTGATCCAGTATTGAAGATTAAACTATTGATTCCTTGGTGTTTTGTATTCTACCAAACTAATATTTTGAGGTTTCCTATGGCAACAGAGCTCTGGCAAACACTTAATCCGCTTTTTAGTTTAAATTTGAAACAGATAGATTGCAACCATTGCAATATACACTGCTAGCGAACTGCAGGCTAATCATTGATTTGCGCATTGATTGGGTTCGTCTTTAAAAATGTTGTTTGATGAATCTTCTGACAGCCAGTTTTGAAAGTTTTCCTTCTTTGATGCAGGTTTGCTCCTTTTGTGTTCTGCCGCCCCTATATTAACATTTTCAATGGCCGATAAACCCAGAAGGGAGGCGTTCCTCGATTCCCTTTCAAGAGTTTCTGTAGAGACTGCAAAATAAAATAGGATGAAAAAGGTTGAAAAAAACTGTTACCTTTTTTAACAGTCCTCATTTTGTTAACCTTAAAATCACGTGAGTTCCGAAACTCAATTGACAACTTTGAAAGCAATTTTACCAGTAACTTGTGACGACAAAAGTTAAATAACGTTTTCAGGATAGTTTCCACTGGCAACGGAGTCGTAGGAAAGCTTGGGAACTTGTGAAACTTAAAATTCAGGGTCATAAACTAAGTCGTAAGCGAGAAGATTCTTCGGAAAAGTTTTCAATCTCTTCCGCCTCCGTCAAATTATCGGAGATTGAAGTAGACTGCGAAAAGTCTCTCTTTTTCTTCCGATTTAGTGAGGGGAGTGTTCGTGCGCGAGAAACAAAGGTGGCTTTTGTTTTTCGCTCGGCAGACTGAAAAAAGAGGCAGTTCGTAGTCTAAGTTGGAAGCAGAAGCGAAAGATAACCTAGTCTCCATTCGAATCGTAAGCGGAATCGGAACACTATTTTCAGTAGATCACTCTCAAGACTCTATACTTCTGATAACGACTCCGACATGGTAGAAACCACCCTTAGTAAACTAATGTAAAACGTACCTTCTGGAAGTCTTCGACCGCTGTCACCCTTCAGTTTGGTGTCACTTTCTTTTGTCTTCAGTTTTTGAGCTTCTTCCATTAATTTCTTTTTCTGCGTTTTCAACGCTTTATTCTCGGATGTTAACTGGGCAACCTTATTGCTACAGGAGAACAGCAAAGGCGCTTATGTTTGATACCACAATAATCACTTTTGTAATTCACTTAATTATTCCATTTAAAACTTTGTGTAGCAACTCATTTAGAAGTGAATAAATGCGTAAAAGCTCTAATTACACTGTATTTTGGTTTCGTTTTTGCTTGTAACAGACACACAAAAGACTCGTCATCTTCTGAAATGGCCCAGCCTGGAGCTGAATCGGCTCTTTTTGAAGGGGTAGTTTTCAAGAGGGCCAAAAATTGAGAGGTCCTGTTCTGATGGCACCGGTGTTTGGCCCCAGTACAAGGGTCAAT